TCAATAAAGTTTAAAAAAGCCAAACATTTAGTATATGTGCACCAAATTTAAAGGCTTTAAGAAAAGCTTTTGGTTAAAATTTACTTCAAAAGTGTTGCCATCTGTTTAAATTTTTTTTTCGTAAAATCTACATAATATCCAGATATTTAGTATATATGTATGTATGTAACAAATTTAAAGGATTTAAGAAGTGCATATTTAAAATTTTTTTAAAAGGTTGCCATTTGTTAAAAAAAAATTTGTTTAGTAAAGTTTACAAAATCGGCAAAAAAGTAATATACGTTTACCAAAAAAACTTTAAAAAACTAATATTTAATAAAATTACAATATAAGCAAAAAATAAATTAATGTATGTATGTACCGTATTTAAGAGCTTTAAAAAATGCTTGTTAAAAAAATTTCTAAGAGGGTTGTAATCTATTAAAAAAAAAAAAATTAATAAGATTTATAAAATAGGCACACATACTAGTATGGGTACCACAATTAAAGGCTTTAAGAATTTTTTTTAAGAATTTAAAATTTATAAAGTACTCATGAGTAGTAGTTATGAATATTTATCAGAAACCAAAAACGTTTCGACATCTTTTTGTAATACTAAAATTGTTTAACAAAAATTTGTGAGCCAACTTTTAAAAGTTAATTAAGCCAAAAAAGCCTCATCAATTCTTTAATCAAGACATTTTTTATTTCAGAAAAATTTTTCGCGACCCAAGTGCGTATATGTGAATGCACTAAAATCTGTATAAAAAAGGAGGAACTTAGATATTTTTTCTCATTGGCAGAACTAAGCAAGATGGCACTTTGATTGAGCCAAATGCACTTTTATTGGCTTTGCATAGCCTTTCAATCAATTGCTCTAAACAAATATGCACTTTCTCAATGCAAGTTCAAATACTCACTTAATAATCATTGCAAAACATCAGAAAGCGCATAAAAATTTGGAAAAATAAGCGCTCATCAGTTCAATAATTCATGTTTATGTCCACAGATTGCAATACTTCCTTCAAAAATATTCAAATTAGCGCAACGAAGCGACAGGAATGTTGCCATACAAGCTCCGTAGTAGCAGCCAGCTGCCATACAATTATACCGACTCTGTTCAGTGCTCAGTTCATTATCGATGGCAACAGTTCACCAATATGAGATATATTGTTTTGTGAATTTGCAATGAGACRCTGTCCACTACGTCGCATGCCCCACACCAACGATGCGTCACTATGAGATAGGCAGAGGCCGAGCACAGGCAGTGGCACAGAGGTTAATGCAGTGGAAATTTCGGAAATAAACACATGATGCTGTGGCATTGATTGTAAATTACGTGCGCAYGTGTTTGCGTGTATGTAAATCAGGGCATTCTGAAAACTTGCAGCCTGCATCACATCTGCGCTTATTACTCATGACTGCGCAAGTGCGTGCGTTTGTCTGAGTTATGAGCCTCATGTGGCTTGTGCCTGAAGTCCATATTAGAGGCTGCCATACTGACGGTATTAGTCGCATGTAACATTTATGTAAATTGTTTTACCAATTTACAGAAAACAAAAGCAACAATAAAAATAGCGATTAACGTCACATGTTGTTGTTGGTCCATTAAGAAATCATGCTTCTGTTTGACATAATTTTCAGCTTAAGCTTATAAATTATGCTTGATTTTGACTGGTACTTGTGTGCCTAGATATGGTCACCTGTGCATGTTTCAATAATTCAAAGTGTTTCGCTTGAATGAGCCATCAATAAAAGCGAAGTAATTTGACTAGTTGCATTAATGTGCCTCTGTAAGTTACTGGCTTTCAAAAGTTTGCTCRAAATTTTATACTTCCAATGAAATCACAGGAGTCTCCTCTATCACAAACGCAAATACTTGATTCATTCAAAACATCTAGTAAAGGTCGAGAAGTTATTAAAAACTTGCCTCGCGCGACTACATCCAACTTTGTTAATTTTCCACGACGATAATATCGAACAAGTTAAAGCAGCAGTACTTGAAAATCATAGTGTTGGCATCAGAGAGATAACCGAGGATCTCAATATTTCTTTGGTATCGACTCATCAAGCTACGGTTTATGTTTTGAGTTTGAAGAGGATCAGTGTACTGAATCTTATGCAAAAAGTTGAGCCGCAACAGATTTTTCTGCCTTAATAATGTTCTTTTCTCTTTTTTATTAACAGAAGGATAGTGATATTTATGATTGTTGATAGCTAACACTCATCTGTTATAATCTAAATYGTTGTATTCCCATACAAAATAGTCTATCGTGTTATCTTCTATTGCACAGGCAAGCCATACTATGTAAACAACTGTTTTGTACATCTGTCGGCAGCAATTTATGAAAATATTTTGTGATATTTACATATTAAATGGATTAAAACAACACATATAAAATGAGACTTGGCCTATTTAATCCCAGACACAATGTGCATTTCTATGCAAACATAACAACGATTATGTCCTATTAAATTATTACGCAACGATTTGTGTGATTACACATRCAATACAATGCCAATATTTATATATATTTAGCACAACATATATATACCATATATACATTATATGTATAWATAAATATTTGCAATATTTGCTTTACTTTCCCCAAGGCAGTCCATCAGGTTCATTTAAAGCAAACATGAACCGTTGCTGACATTCGCTTGAAATGATTGACCGAATTGATTGACCTTAGCAAGTTTAAGGTAGTCGACAATGAAAAGTGAAAGCAATCGAATGAAACGCCTAAAGATGTTCGAAATTCTATTAAATTTATATAAAATGCATTTTGGAAGTTTATGCGAGGTTATAACGCATAACTTGCCATTTGGCTATCGGTGTGAATTTGACATTTCTTGTCGTATTTGTTTTTGTTGGCAATATGCCATTATTAATATTTAATTATTTGTAAATAAGTAACTAAAATACAAAAAANGACCTTAGCAAGTTTAAGGTAGTCGACAATGAAAAGTGAAAGCAATCGAATGAAACGCCTAAAGATGTTCGAAATTCTATTAAATTTATATAAAACGCATTTTGGAAGTTTATCCGATGAATTTGACCTTTGTTGTCATATTTGTTTTTGTTGGCAATATGCCATTAGTAATATTTAATTATTTGTAAATATGTAACTAAAAGAAAAAAAATACTTTATAATAATATTACCATATAAACGGCGCTTTAATAAGACCACTAAATGACCTCAACTATTTTTTGCAGGAATCAGCCTCACACTATCAAGAAATTTAAGTCTTTTGAAATAAAACACTAAAATTCGTTMAAAATTAATTCTTTTGTTATGCATTCATCCATTTATTATTTGAACAAAATGAGGTGCAAATGGCCACCGCTGCTCTGTTGGCATATCTCCTCCTTTTCCTKTGCAGTATTTGGGCTATRGTGCACTGAATGTTGYTTTTGAGGTTCTCGAGTGTTGCTGGTTGGTAAGTCTTTGATTTARCATACCMCCAGAGACATGATCTTGTCGGCCATTTGACTGGGCCATTGGACTACACGACGATTCGATTGACAACAATAGCAACAATTTTGTCTGTTGACGAAGCCAGTAAGACAGAAATGGGCGGCAGCTGGGAAAATGATTTTTCGATGAACGTGAAATTGTGAGTTTTTTGGAGAATATGAATGTGCCTAATAATTTTGGACAAAATCATCATCATTTGCAAATTATTTATACATCTATGAATGCATTTTTTTTTTGTTTTTTTTTTGTTCCATATTTAATTTTACAGTGTTTTCCAATAAGAATGAATGATATCTTTACAAAAAAATTACATGAATTGTTAAGAAAATTCCAATGTTTTTTTATACAATGTGAAGTACAATAGATACAATTAAGTTTTGAATATAGCATCATTCAAATACATTCATTCTTTTACCGGAACAGTTTCAATGAACCCATTTTTCGAGAATTTTTTCCACAAAATCGGGTCGTATGTCATGAATAGCACGTTAAATGTTGATTTATAAAGCTTAAAGAGAGTTTAGTTTATTGTTGCATACCTACGACTTCAAATAGCTCCACAAACAGTAGCCTAAAGGTGCTAAATCACGACTTATCGAAGGGCATTCAATGTCGCAATTCCTTGAAATAATGGAATCTCCAAACTTTTCTCCCAATAATTCGCTTGTTGCACATGCTATGTGGCACGTAGGCCGTTTTGTTGTCAAGATCAACTTCTTGTAATCGCGGCCATAAAAAATTGGTTATCCTCGGTCTATACCGCTCTCCAATGACAGTGACTGTGTGAAGCTGGTGGCACACATTTCTATGTATTTGAAAGAAATACATACCGATGATTTCACCAGACCAAAAACTACACACATTCAAAAGTACATAAAGTACATCAAAAACTTTCATAAAGTTATGCGTTCTTGAAATATACAAGTATTTGGGTATCAAAACAAAAACATTGATGCATTCCGGGCTACTGCAAATGACACTTTTCTCTAATATAAGGTCTAAAATAAGGTCTATTTTGAAAATCTAAACTACCGAAATATGAGAAAAAAAATATTTTTTAAATGTTATTTTAAGTTGGAAATCAACACACATACATATGTAGGCCATCGAATTAAATTCCATTGAATTAAAGAAGTTTATCAAAGGTTTTGACCAAAAGTTTTGCGCAGGAGTTTATAAACTTGTATGATAAAAAGATAAAATACGTTACGTTATYATGTCTTAAAAATAAAAGAGTTTACATGAATTTATAAATAGATACAATTTCATCATCGAAAGTTATTTTACCAGAGCATTCACCCAAATATAATGGATCACATGAAGTATTATTTTAAAGATGTGTATACTTTTAATTATTTAGAAAGTATGGTTATTCAAGTTAAATATTCATATTTTGATTCTTCACTTTCATTTCATTTAATTAAGCTTAATATAAGACTCTTCATATTTTTTTTTTTTATTTCAACTATTCCTCTTATATAGTATATGTTATATTTCATATTCCTTTCGTACTCATATTCTTAACTAGCTATCACTTACCTCTCTCATCCATGCTATCACCCTTGTAGGTGCGTGAACGGTGGGATAATTTGTCTCTGCTGGTGGTTGTTTCGTCGCTAAGATGTATACTTTTGTGCGAATTTGTGCTTGAACTATTTTTATTTTATTTTTTTAATAATTTTTAAATATTGTTTTCACAATTTTTTTAAGTGCAAAAGGTGAGAGAAATGTACAGGGCATCATAGCATAGAAGAGATAAATAAAATAAATTACATAAGTTTGCAGACTAATTAAGTACKTAAAATTACTGAAATGCAAATGTGAGGTTAGTAATGAAAAAGCGGCAATAATGTGTGACTAAAGTGAGATAAACAAATATTCTATTAGTCTGAAGTGAAATAACAGATAAAAAAATTCTATGAAATTATCAGTTTTTTTGCATTGTATTTGTAAAGTTACATTTCTTTTTTTGTTTCAATTTTCATTTTAAATAAATTTTAACTTTTTTTTTTTAACGGAAAAGTTTGCTAATTTGTCGACACAACTTTTTGACTACAAGAAAACCAAAGAGGAGCGTAGACCTTTGAGTAGAAGTTCACGCATGTGATMAAAATTTTCTGAGCGCGATTAACTTGGGAGTAGCCAGAAACGATTCCTTTACATACGGCTCAAGCAGCTCAYGACTTCTGGTCTTAAATGAAGTTTTCTCTGGGTAGCCTAAGAAACTCCGTATGAAAGMGAGTTAAAGTTAAAAAGCGCAGCATCCCTACTCAGGGTTATGTGGTGGGTTTGGGACCCGCCAATAAAAAGGACACAAGRACCTCGAATAAGAGACCACCCTTTTTATGAACACCACTGGAAACATATAACGGATTTCGATTTTAATGCATGCACCTGGAATMTCCGGTCTCTTAATTGAAAAGGTGCCGCTCCCCAGCTGATTGGTGTAAAAGCTGACATCACCGGTGTTCAAGAAATGCGACAAACTGAGACGAGTTGGTCCTTGTCCCATTTACTACAGTGACCAATTAAAAGAGCTCAAATTCGGTATGGGCTTTATAGCAAGAGAGAGAAAGAGAGTCCTAGAACTCACCGAGGTGGATGAACGTCTAGCCACAATCCACATCAAAGCGAAGTTCTTCAACATGTCGCAGATGAGAGCTGCCCTCGCCACTATGCCAAAACCGTGCTTGGCGACTTTAACGCCAGGGTGGGCAAAGATACCCTTTTCTACTTGACACAACGGTCGGTAAATTCAGATTCAATGCCGAAACATCCCCACAAGGGGTGAAGCTGATCGACTTCGCCAGGGCCCGAAATATGGTTATCTGTTGTACCAGATTCCTGTTTGCGAAAATTTACCACCAAACAGATCGATCACGTTGTGATAAACAGAAGACACGTCCTCAGAGTTTTAGACGTACGTACGCTCCSAGGTCCTAGCATTAACTTGAAACACTACCCGCGAAAAGAAGATCCACACACACCATGTCTTCGTCGATGTTAAAGCTGCTTTCGACAGTATGAAATGGAGCTCCCTTAATGCCGCTAWGTCTGAATTTGGTATCCTCGCAAAAGTAATACGGCTGTGTAAAATGATGTTAAGCAAAATCAAAAGCTCYGTGCGGATCGGAAAGGACTTCTCCGATATATGAACTTACTATATATTGGATGCAAGCTTGAACCCAAAATCGGCAAAGCGGTTAAGTAATGGTAACGGTACTGTGTGGTACTGGTATTTATCTGCTTTGTCCCTCAAAGTACATTCTTTTTTTATTTTCCCTTCATTACCTTAAATTTTAATGCACTCTTTTATATAATATATATGTATATGCCTGCCTTTATATTCATATTCGAATGAAAATCTCTTTTAAACATTCTTCAAATTAACCTTCTGCACTTGCTCGCCGGCAAACTCGAGTGGCCGAAGTCGCAACCTTTAGCTGCACTGTTAGCTCTGCACTTCAAATATTTCCACTACAAACTTAAACACTTTGCCATTTGAATAATTAAATTTGACGATGGGAACTTTAAAATTTCATAGAATTTTAATGTCTCGACATTCACTTCTCCACATACACATATACACAGCATAGAGAGTAGTTGTATTGGTGCGTTGCCAAAGTGCTCATTGCAGCGAGTGCTCATGTTGTGTGGGTGTGTGTGTGTGTTGGTGCGTTTGTGGTTGTGCTTTTTTCTTGTGTATGTATGGTGGCATTCTCTAATACTAATATATATACATATCTACAAAGTATTTATATGCATAAAGACACACACATACACACAGATAGTGCTTGTGCTAGCTCACATACATTGCAGTKTTTTGGTGCTTTTTGCTATGGTGCAGATGTGTCGGTGGTGCCGGAAGTGCCGACTCTGGTGCTGAAACCGTGGCGGGTGATGTGGTATAAGTGAAACCATCAAAATACTCGTGCATTTGGTGCATGCCATGGTTGCTATTGCTAATGGTGATTATGTTGCTGCCGCTGMTGCTGCCGCTAAGCTCCGTTATGGACTCATCAAGCGCGCCGGACGAACCGAAACCAAAACCAACACCAACATTACCACCAACACCARCATAGTGCCGACCAGTGTTCATGGTGTCCAACGAAACCTCAACATCATCACCATCAACGCTACCGCCGGYGCCCGCACTGCCCCGTCCATCCTTCTCAGCTTTCGGCGTCATTTGCTGGCGTTGCCACTGTTGCTTTTGTTCGGTCTTTTGACGGCCACGCGTAGCCACATCATCGCCTACCTCCAGCAGCGATTCATCTTCGTCGTCGTAGGTGTGTGGCGAGTGCGAGGCCAATACCAACGGATTGTTGAGACCCCACGAGGGCGGGTGCAGGTAGTGCGGATAATTTGAATAGATTTCGGCGCGTATACGATCGTCATAGTCGTCCTCCTCCTCCTCGTCAATGGCAATATTGTTCGAGAGCTGTTGTTGACCGGTGGCATTGGCGGCTATCAATGAGTTCGACGACGACGACGACGCTATTGATGATGATGTGCCATTGTGGTGTTGTTTTTGTATTTGCTTTTGTTTGAATTTCGGTATGGCGCCATCGGGGAAGAATATTAATCTATCTGCAAGAGAGAAGTTGGAGAGAAAGACAAAGAGCAGTGCTTGTGCGCGTAAGTACACTAGTGCCAAGGAAATTCAATTAAGTTTAATGCAAAAATGATATAGAAAATGAAAAATTGCGAAAACGGTGTGCGCTTTAGTTGTGTTTATATTATATGTATGTATATACAGTAATATATATATATAGATATATATTGGTATTATACTTCGATATATATGATAAACGGTTCTTTGCTTTGGTGCTAGCATAGCTCTGGTGCAGTGCGACGACAAGTGCAACAAATGCTAACGGAAACAAAAGATATGAAAAAATCTAGGAAAATGCAAAATTATCAAGACAAAATTAATGAACAAAAAGTTTGGATTTTAAGAAAAATTAACAACAAAAGATTATTTACGAAATACAATAGATTTGGTTTTAGAAATTCGTGTTGGTTAGGGCGTATCTGTGCATGTTTTCGTGACGTGGAAGCGTCAAGCGGAAAGAGTCCACCGGAGATTATTTTCGATATACTAAATAATGATAAGCTATATTTAACAGAAATACATATTTACAATAGAACGTTTAATCAAATTTGTAAAAAGTGCAAAAGTGTATTTCCTAATCTACAAAAATGATGCAGAAGAACAATCTGATTAGTGATTTCAAATTTATATACAGATGAACATCATTTAATATAAACTTTCTAATTTTGGTAGGCATTGCAATTTATACAAACTCATACAAAAGCTGTCTTCGATTGGCCAAGCGTTACTTCTCAAGCGAATTGAACAAACTAKAACAGATGCTCAAGCAAACGGGGAGCACTTGTAATGTAACGCTGATATGTCTGTTGACGCATGCGCAATAAATGTAGTATTATAACCTTCTTTCTTTCTTTCCACATTATAAACGTAGTTTTTACCCTTTTATTTAGTTTTTTATACATTACTATCATTGGTGTTTGGTAAATCTTATGTTTTAAAAATACAAGAAAAAAAAAAAATTTAATTCATTTGTCATTTCAACCATTCACAATAGGAAATCTAATCTAATGTTTGCAAAACAAAACTAGGTAGCACTGAAGCTGTTGCAATTTAGGTCGAGATCTTTAATGAAAAGCGTAAAAAGCTTGTGTAAGAACGGAAGCCGCTCGAACTTCTCAAGCTACATCGTTTCGCTTAATGGACYCGTGTAAAGTTCCAAGAAGATSCGACGTTTRYGAGCCAAATTTTGTTCAGCAATGAGGCACATTTCTGGTTCAATGTGTATGTAAACAAACAAAATTGCTGCCGTTTGGACGAAGAGCAACATGAAAAGCTTTACGAGCTGCCATTTTGTCCAGAAAAAAAACAACGACTTGGTGCGGCTTGTAAGCCGGTGGAATTATCGGTTCATATTTCTTCAAAAATGATGCCGGTGAGAACGTAACCATCAATCGCGCCATAAYAACCGACAATTAGATGTCTGAAATTGAAACTCGTGATCTCAGCTATATTTGGTTTCAACAAGACGGCGGCACTTCCCACACATCGCTTCAATCAATGTATTTATTGAATGGATAATTCGGTGAACAGATAATTTCACGTTTTAGGCTCTTTCCTGTAGGAATATGTAAACTTTAGTCTATGCGGATAATCCTGCTTCGTTTCAGACCTTGGATCAAAACATCACGCATGTCAATCGCCTGTTACTGGTCGAAATGCTCGAACGAGTGTTTGAAAATTGGACTCAACGTATGGACTATATAAGACCTAGCCACGGTCAACATTTAAAAGAGATAATCTTCAAAATACAAATGACGAAGAATGTTCTTTCGAATGATAATAAACATTCCCCAAAAAATTTAAAATTTCTGTGTTTCTTCTTAAAAATAATTAAGAAACCTCGAAATGCATTACGCTTTAAACTTAGTGATTTTGACAAGAGAGCATAAGCGAGCAGTGAAATGGTGAATCGAAGAACCGTCTGTGTAATCAGACAAATACCGATTTTTTCAAAGGACTCTCTGAACTAATCGAGAAGTAAGAACAAAGGGAAGCGCTGACGAATAAAACAAAGTGAAGTTAAAATATGTACTACTTCAAAATCGGARAATGAATTATCGAGGGATAGCTGTCTTATCTATATAGATACACTGCTTTTCTCTASGTTTTTCTTGTTCTTTAAAAGGCTTTCAATCCGAATGTCTGTATATAATACCGGGCAAGAAGATACATTATTAAGCTTTCAGTCTTGTAGCATACAAATAAATAGTTCAATKCTTTGAGACTTAGGAAAAAATCGTTTCTGCCTTTTAAAGAATATACTATTATATGYCATTTTTTATAAGTACATAGTGAAAAGTAGCACAACAGCGATGCAGACAGGAGCATATTAAACTAATTTTGAATTCGGGAAAAGCATATCAGTTCATATAGTCTGGGCATTAGTTGTCATTTTTTACGAATCAAAGTAATTATTCTTGAACTGTTGATCTCAGTAGTTCGCTGAAAAATATTGCTACAAAATTTTACTTTGCTTACGATTTCTATGTTCAAATGTTCARACATTGTTTATGCTTTCTATTAGTTGCCAGTGAAAAGAGTCATTCTATGATGATTAGTAAGTCATCGTTTCTACCCAATACCACTGATTTTCGAAATCATACATTGAATTTAAATTCGCTTCCTAACATTGCCTTCGCTTTCCGGGAAAATTGGGAAAGGAGCGAGGTGGACAAAAGCGCTGATATAAGCGCCTATATGTAGACGCCTTTCGCCTACTAAACTACTGCAGTGTCTTTATGGCAAGAGTACTCACAAGAAGATATATATTTAAATATATGTACATATTTGTAGCTAGATATTTCAAGTTTAACCTGCAAAGGTTTCCAAGACATAGTGATATCCCTAATAAGTTTGGAGCACATAAACTAGCCAGAATTACAATTAGACTACCGAAACGTCTTTGGCTACTTGCAGTAATTTAGTCGATAAACATGTCATAAGTATAGATGGATTGCGGTGGAATCAGCCCCTGATTTGCTCAACGAATACGCAAACGTGGATCGATGGCTATAGATAGGATTCGACTAATGAAATTCAAAAGGAATGTGTAACGAACACTTGTAGTAGTAACAGGTCACTGTCTAATTGGTAGACAAGCGAGTAGGCTAGGGATCCCATATCGCCATATCATGAGTATTGTAGAAGCGATCACGAATAATAAGAAAAGGAGTCTATAACTTATCTTCTATGCGATTGCAAGGTTTTATATAGGAAACTAATCGCAACTATTGGTAGAGGGTTTCTTGACGATGTCTTGGAGATTGCGCAACTGAAACTTTTTGTACTGGTGAACACCTTCAGAAGCACTGGATGGTTTAAGTAGGAGAAGAGAGGAAAAAGGGCTTTCAAAGAATTAGATACGCCGTTAGACAGACACTCGACCTACCCTCCTACCTAAGCTTACGTTTCAGGAAAGCTTAGTGCCTAAATTAAAAAAGGGTAAACGATTTCTGTTTATTAATAACATCCTTTTGATAGCAAATTCACAAATGTCTAATTTTTTTAAGTAGTTGAAAGATTGTAGTTAGAAATTATTTTTACAAGTCTTCTTAATAGGAAAATTTTTAATAACWTAAGGGTACACCTAATGTGAAAATTAGMAAAATATTATTTTTTTGCWTTAAATTTGTTTTGAATATTTTTTAAATTTTATACAAAACTTAAAAATGAGTTATTCATTTTCTCGGGATCTAAAATTCATCTAATATTTGATTAAATTTTTTAAAGTTTGCCATTTTGCTAAATTTCAAAATATATATTATATTATTTGTTTTCTGTATATTCGCTTATCCGTTGTGCTTATTAACTAGTCGTGAATAAATATATCCTAAATATTTAAATTCTGCAATTGAGCATCGTGTATAATTTTTTTAAATTCAAATATTTTGGAACATAGAGCAATTGGAACGCCCCGAATTGGTATAATCAGCATTATAAAATTTGTGCAAACTATAAGTGCAAAGATTTTCAACAGTCATTGCTAGAACAAACTCTGCCCCACAAAGGTGAAAACAAACACACACACCTGAATTTACTAACCTTCTAGACGTGTGTATGTATGCATGTATGCGAGTTATTGCATCGCTGAATTTATATAGGTAAATTTCCGTGTATAATTTTCCGATTTTTCACAATTCAAAGTCTCACACGGTGGACAACTCAAAGTGTCAGCAGCATGAATGCGATGCGTCAACGACAACAACAACATAAAGAAAACAGGCATGCTCAARAAGATGTTGTGTCAAGCAAAACGGAAAAGCAAACCAATCACAGCTGCTAACTATGAGAAATGCACTAGACGAATTGCCACACATACACATAAGCACCTATACATATAGAACATATGTATGCATGTATTGTGTATAAATATATCTGTACGATTAAATGTGACAAAGGTGTTTGCTGTTGACTTATGTACTAAGGTGAGCCAACATGTTGACATGCAGCGTCTAACGATGCTGCTGACAGCCACTGTCACGGTGACACTGACAGCAACAAAAACAACAATAACAGCTAAAATGACAGCAACTGCAACAGCAATTGTGCTGCTGAGTGTAGCTAAAATTGTATATGCAATTGCTTGCCAAACAAATTACTACAACAACTACACACACACACACATATATACACAAGCCAAAGCAATAAACACACGAACACATACATTTATATAAGTAATGTATTTTAGCTACAAACAAACAGGCGAGCGAACGAGCGAGCGTGCGAAGAGGCTTAGATTGTAAAGAGCATACGGAAGAAGCAGCGAAAGAGATGCGTAAAGTGTAAATTTAGATGACTGATGCAGCAGTGTCAGAGATGCAAAGCAGGCATGCGAGGGTGAGCAGATTGWAATACTGTAGCATACAAGTCTGTTGTGTGTTGGTGATAGTTAGAATTCAAAGAATATTTGCAGGAAAGCTTTGGTGGCGTGGTTTGGGTAGACGAACAGGCGTTACTAGGGTGAGTAGGTGACACAGCGGTGCGTGGTAGTTGTTTTTATTGAGTGAGTAGAGTGCAGGATGTAATGACAGAGAACGAAGAAGCATAGTAACTTAAGGTTGACGAGCTGGCTGTTGGCGGCGGCAGATGCGCGTGTATGTGTTTGTGTATGCATGGCAATGTGGGCGCGATAGTGGCGAGCTGGTGGGGTGATGACGGTGAGCGTGATGCGAATGCATATGCGTGTATATGTGTCTGTGGGTGTGTGTGTTGGGGTGTAGGTGTGCAAAACTGCCAGATTTGAGATATTTCTTTTAAATTTCTGTTGCAGTTTAGCTTTTTGCTGTTTTGTTTTTGTTTTGCGGTGTTCGTTAGGCTACATATTGGTATTGGAGTATAAGTAAGTAGGTAGTCTTAAATTGAGTCGCATAGTTTTGAGTTGATGCAGAAGCGTGCGATTGTTGGTTGTTTACTTTTCAAAAGATACTTTATTTCTTGGAAGCGACTGTATGGAAAAATTTAATGAGTAAGAAGTACGAAGTAAAGTAAAGGAACCAGGAGAACGGAAATAAAAGAAAAAATTATAATAAAAAAAAAATAAAACAACAAGAAATAATGAACAACGAGGTAGTCAAGAGTGGTTAGAGTTACAAAAGTTGACACGAAACGCAAAATAAAAACGGAACACACAAAAATTAAAAATTAGAAAAATCATATTTCCTTTGTAGAGACAGTTCAAATTACTTCAAATTTCATAGCTTTTGTTTGTTTTTTTTTCTTGCTTTTTGTTTGCGCTCGTTGCGAATTTTTCAATGTTTTTTTTTGCTAGTTTTTCATTTGCTGATTTCGGTGCAAAAATCATATTTGTTCCTTTACTTTGACTACTTGTTTTCTCTTTTTTGTTCGGTTTACTTATCCAAAATGAAATCATTGCAAAATAACTGTTTTACGCTACTCTTGCACAATTTACGCTGTGCTGTTGACAAATGGTTGCTTTGCAGTTGTTGTTTGCTTATTTAATTATTTGCTTATTTTTTTACTTTACTTCAATATACTTTTATTTGCTGCTTGTTATGTGTTTTCTTCTTGCTTTGCATGGTTTTGCGTTATTTGTTGGTTTACTATTTTATTTTTTTTATTTTTTTTTTTTGCTTTTTTTGAGTTTTTTTCTATAACTTACCCACACACGGATTGTGATTAACTATATTAAATATACGATCACAGCGTTTTTTCATATGATTATTCGGACAGATACAGCCGAACATGGGCGAGAGGCGTAGATTTGTCCACGAGTCGTGACAAGCATCTCTGTGTTGGATGAAGAAAATAAATGTGATTAATATATATGCAGATTTTTGTAATAAAATATATTTTTAATATCTGTAAGATTTGCTGTAGTTATGCATTAAAAATATATTTTCTTAAAAAATGTTAAAATACTGAGCCACTGTGGCCGAATGATATTCAAAATTAAGTGTGTGGAGTGTTCTATTAAAAAGTCCTACCAAATCACCGTTATCTATGTAATAGGCTCTAAGTTCCATAAGGYTTTTTTCCAGTGAAAATATTATCTAACATAAATAACTATCAGAGGTTGAARCTTAGCTGGATCAAGACCAAAAATTTTTCCATTTCCTTACGCTGGAAAGATGATTCAGAAATGATGACAAAACCCCAGCTTAGTGCTCTACCACCTCATTATGTACCTATAGTTTGAGCTTTCTATAATAGCTATAAACTTTGCATTTAGTCATCATGATTCTGAAATAGTTTTAGAGAGGACAAAAAGCATATATGTGAAGCCTTAAATAAAGCGGCTGTATATATTCCAAAAAGATTGGAATGGACTCCTTCGCCGCTTTGAAAAATATGAAACTCTTGAAATGAGAGAAGAATTTATATTAGAAACGAGAGAAAAATAGTGCATGCAGGGT